TGTGCTAAATACGCAGGGGTTTAGTATCAAAAACAACGATGAGTTCATGCATGCATTTATTCATACATGAATCGTGTATTAAAAACCTGATATTTGTTTTAAAATCCCATGTATTAGCAACTGCCCTGTAAGTGGCAGTACGGCGTCCATCCCATGTATTAAAAATTGCCCCGTAAGTGGCAGTACGGCGTCCAGGGCGTGGGCGCGTCGCCGCGAGCTGACCGGTGCTTCGACGTCGTCGCGCCCGCTCACTGGACGCGGGCCCGGGCCAGGGATCGAGTCCTCGCTGCCGCACCCACTGCCAGACGGCGCCATGTGCGCGGCGTAGTCTCAGGCCGCATCCACACCCTTGCCTCCATCGGCTGGGAAACCGTGGAGCCCTGTGTTGTTGGGTTGGCGCTTAAGGAGACGTGTACGCCCACGACGAGGCCTCTCTGGACGAGGGCCACTCGGTGAACTTCGGGGGCGTCCGCGATGCCCTGTCCACAGCGCTGGCCAGGCGGGTGTGGCGGAAGGCGGCGGCCCACTGGAATTGCCGTGCCTTGGAGGGCGGCTGCTGGTGGGCTCAGGCCAAGGCCTTCGTTGGGGCCCTAAGGCGGCGAGGCTTCCTGCCTGGCGAGCTGGAGGCGATGTGAGCTGAGATGGTCGCGGGCTCGTGGACGCGCGGTCGTATCGCGGATGCTGGTCTGGCGTGTACATCACCCTTGTGCCAGCGCTGCGACACGGGCGTGGTCGAGACCGATTAGCATCGCTGCTGGGAGTGCCCCGCCAAGCAGGGGTTGGCCGCGTGTGTCCAGCCCGTGCACCTGCAGGACGACGCGGAGCAAGGAGTGCGTGAGCAATTGTGCCTCTGGCTCCGCGGGGTCGCCCCCTCTTGGCCTGCGCTGACAGCCCAGAGGCGCCCGACGTGGAGGACATCGTGCCGGCTGGAGGCCACATCGGTATCCCCGCCGGCGCGATGGTGCTCGCCTTCGGCGCCGCATCTGGAGGAGCGTGGTCAGCCGTCCTCGACGCTGTCGCCGATGGCCTCGCGCGGGCGGATCCCGAGCGCGCGACGGGCATCGCCCCCGGGTTGGCAGGCACGCTGGCGGGGCCGAGCTGCGATCTGCGCGCCGTCCCCGACTTCCTTCAGGAGGGACAATTATCCCGGCAAAGCAACCTAACAGCGATGTGTAGAAGCATATATGAAAGCATTCCCCTTAAGATTCAGATGAAAAACCAGTTGTAAAATTCTGCTGTTCTCGCAGTCGTAGTCGCTTTCGCGATGACAGTCGCAGCGGCAACGGCAGTCGCAGTCACAGCCTCAGCCTCAGCCTGCCTCAGCCTCAGCCTCAGCCTGCCTCAGCCTCAGCCTGCCTCAGCCTCAGCCTCAGCCTGCTTCAGCCTCAGCCTCAGTCTGCCTTCAGCCTCGGCGTCAGCCTCAGCTGCCTCAGCCTCAGCCTGCATCAGCCTCAGCCTCAGCCTCAGCCTGCCTCAGCATCAGCCTGCCTCAGCCTCAGCCTCAGCCTGCCTCAGCCTCAGCCTCAGCTGCTTCAGCCTCAGCCTCAGTCTGCCTTCAGCCTCGGCCTCAGCCTCAGCCTGCCTCAGCCTCAGCCTGCCTCGGCCGCAGCATCAGCCTGCCTCAGCATTCAAAATGTGGCCCAGGAATGGAGTTCTGGGAAATAGAAGAACACGAAGTGGCCTACAGTTGGCTCCGGGCATCCAATGGAGTGGCTGGCACCGGGAATGGAGTTCTGGGAAGTCGAAGAGCACGAAGTGGCCTACAGTTGGCTCCGGGCATCCAAAATGTGGCCCGGGAATGGAGTTCTGGGAGGACGAAGAGCACGAAGTGTGTGACTGTTTGCGAAAAAACGATCCCGGCTCTGTTCCCGGTTCTCCAGAATGTGGCCCGGGAATGGAGTTCTGGGAGGTCGAAGAGCACGAAGTGTGTGACTGTTGGCGAGAAACGATTCCCGGTTCTCCTCCCCGGCACCCGCCCAGCCCCCCTGTGGAGTCCAGATGCTTTCTTTTGACCCTACTAGAAACCTATCAGCAAAAGCTGTTAGGTAAAAAACACACAGACACAATTAATCGTCGACTCCCAGGAAAATATATGAAAATATGAGAAGTGGGGGGGAAGGCAGAAACCCAGACAATAGGGGAGAATATGGGGGATATTGTTATTTGTGTGTATTTATTTGTGTGTCCTTGGGCCCCTTGATTCCTGGAGGACAGCCAGGCTGCGCGGCTGGCCCCCTTCGCCACGCACAGCTCGTGCGTGGCGCGGGGCTTCTGGCGCGCCGTGCGGCGGGGAGCGCGTGCTGGCCGCCGAGCTTGCCAGGCCTGGGCGCGAGGTGCAGGCGCCGCAGGTCGAGAGCCCACGTGGCCGCCAGGCGGAGCCGCCGAGGAGGGCGCGGAGTCCCGGCCCGCCCTCCTCGGCGCGGGGGTGCGCGGGCGCCCTCGCGGGCGAGGCGGCGGCGCGGGTGCTCCCCGGCCGCGTCGTGCGGTCCTCCGCCGAGCCTGAGAGGCGCGGGGGCCGCGGGCCGCCCCCGTGCAGCAGCGGCGGGGCGCCGCCGCGCTGGACGCTGCCCCGCGGGGGGCCCGCAGCGGGCGCCGCCCCTCGTCGCCGCTCGCCTCGGGCGGCCCGGGCCAGTCCCGCCCTGGCCGCGCGCAGGCAGGCGGCCTCCGCCCCGCGGCGCGCACGTCGGCCCGGCCAGGCCGGGGTGCACCTGCCGCGGCGCCGCGCGCGGGCTGCCGCATCCGCCCTCGCGCCCTCGCCCTCGCTCCGCCGATCGACGTGCCGCGGGCCCGAGCGCTCGCAGCCCGCGCGGCCGGGCGACGTGAGGTGCCGTGAGCCTCTCGAGCTCGGACGTCTCACGTCTCATCCCGCTCACGCTGTGTCCTTCCGCGAGGTGTGCCGCCTCTGGCAGTGCGCCACGTGTGGCGCGGTCGCCACCTCCCAGCTCCGCGCCCTGCGAGTACCCTGTCGGCACCGCGTCGGCAGCGCGGGGGCGCAGACTCTCCAGACCTTGGGGGAGGCCTTTTTCCTGGGCACTCGGCCGCCGCACGAGCCTTCAACAACAAGAAGGCCGTTGCGGCTGCGCCTGCTGGGACGGCAACGTTCCGGCGTGGACGGAGGTAAGCCAGGCTGCAAGCTGGGCCGCCCTCTCGGTAACTTGGGCGAAGCGGCGGGGGAGCCTCGGTTTCCCGCCCGCCCGCGTGTCGGGGTGGGGCCTCGATGCGCGCTCGCCGCCCTTGGAGCGCGCTCCGGGAGCGGCGGCGCCTTGGCCATTTGGCCAGCGTGCCTGGGCATGCAATCTTCTGAGGCAAGAATCGCCCACCCATGGAGCACAGCACCGAACTTCCTCCTGATGTTCCCCTCGTCCTTCCCCCACCCCCTTGTCCTCGAGACTCCTCTTCCCTTCTTCCCCACTCCTCCTCAGCCTTTTGAAAATCACCCAAAGGTTCCGAAATCCTCGGAACACCCTGTTATTCCTCCGCCTCCTCGTGGCTATACGTCTACTTCTCCTCGATCCTCCTCCTGCTGTCCCCTCCTCCCCATCCTCCCCATCGTCGTCCTCGAACGTTCCCAAACGAGGACTTCCCCCTCCTGCTCTGCCCTCCTTCTCCTTGTCCTCCCTCCTCCCCCCTTCTCATGTTTCCCCTCCTTCTTTTCCCTTTCCTCCTGATCAGTATCCTTTTTCTCATTAAGTATCCTCCATCCTCTCACCATCCAACCCATCAACCCCATGTTCCTTCTCTTCCTCCTCCTCCACCTCCTCCTCATGACCATCATCATCATCATCATCATCATCATCATCATCAGCAGCAGCATCATCATCATCATCAGCAGCAGCAGCATCCTCAGCAGCTTCACCATCATCCTCATCCTCATCCCCAACATCATGATCGTCATCGTCACCAAATTAACCATCACCATCAACAGCATCATCATCAGCATCATCACCATAATCACTATCATCATCGTCACAACCACCACCTCAACCAGTATCATCATCATCATCATCATCATCATCATCATCATCATCATCATCATTATCATCATCATCAGATTCATCATCAGCATCACCTACATCCGCGCCATCATCATCATCATCATCATCAGCATCATCATCACCATCATCATCAGCATTAGCATCAGCACCATTACCATTATCAGCATCATCATCGTTACCACCATCCATCACAGCCTTCGCCAACATCATCATATCAATCGACATCACCCTCGCAACCATCATCAACATCATCATCATCATCGTCATCACCATCATCATCGCCATCATCATCATCAGCACCATGCAGCATAGCCATCATGAACGCCACCATTATCTGGATCCTCCTCCTTATCATATTCAACATCTTCTTTTACGTCATCTTCTCCATTCATCGCACCCCCACAACCATCATCATCACCAACATCATCATCATCCTCCTCATCCTCATCACCATAATCATCATCACCATCATCATAAGCATCATCATCAGCGCCATCGTCATCATCATCATCATCATCATCATCATCATCATCATCATCTTTATAGTCATAATCATCCTCATCACCGCCGTCATCATACAGAACCCCATCCATCTCATCGTCAGCATCATCAGTATCATAACAGCATTGCCATCATGATAGTCGCAAGTCTAATGATCCTCCAAATCACCATCTTCGGCCGCATCATCTGCATCATTATCATCACCACCATCATCACCAGCATCACCATCACCATCATCATCATCGCCATCATCATCACCATAACCAGCACCATAACGTCACAGCCATCATGATCGTCGTCAGTTTCCTCATCATCATCATCATCATCATCATCATCAGCATCATCATCATCATCATCATCATCATCATAATCACAACCGTCACCACGACCGTCACCGCCACCATCGCCGTCACCATCACCGTCACCATCACCGTCACCATCATCACCAGCACTGTTGTATTCCTCCCTTTCCTAATGACCCCGCCTCCCATTCCCCTCCGCAAGGGGCCCCGGCAACCGCATGCACGAGCTGAAAATCCGGTCCGAGCCCAACGCTGAGGGCGGCACCAGGCCCGCCCCAGCCGCCCCGCTGCCTGGGTCGGACAGCACAGGTGAGGCGAGCAACAGGAGGGATCGTCGTCGTCGATCGTCGTCGTCGGTCGTCGGTCGCCGTCGTCCTTCCTCAATCGCGTTCGTCCATCGTCGTCGCCGATCGTCGTCGTCGCTCGTCGTGGTCGTCGTCTTCGTCGTCGTCGTCTTCGTCGTCGTCGTCAATCGTGGTCGTCGTCGTTGTCGTCGTCGTCGTTGTCAATCTCGGTTGTCGATCGTCGTCGCCGCTCGTCGTCGTCGCTCGTCGTCGCAGAGGGGGAAGGGCGGGCCCACCCAGGTGCGCTTGGGCCACATCTGGGGCATGCCCGACAGGGTCCCGCGTTCAAGGATCGACTGAGCTGTCGTCTCTTCCTCGGAGGAAGACGGTGGAAGGACGGCGGAAGCCCGCGGAAGTAAACCGAGGCCGCCTCCGCCTGCGGAAGGCTGGCGGAAGCCGGCGGAGTAAGAGATGCACCCCCAAATGCTGGCAGCATTTTTGGATTCAGGGCTTCCGGAACACGGCCACTCCCGCCCATTAGCCCTTTTGCGCCGACATTTCTCTTCTATTCGCAGTCCCGGGCGTCCTATAGGAGCCTTTTGGTGCCCAGATGGCACTCGCGGAATCTGCCCCATAGTTTGCTGCGCAATCGGGGAGGGGAGGCGAGGAGGAGCAGGGCCACGACGGCACGCAGGCAGGGGAGAGAGGATCGTAGCACTCACATTCTGCGTTTGTGGGGGGCGGGGGACGGGGGGTGGAGGGAGGGAAGGGGAGGGAGGGGGAGGGAGAGGGATGAGCAGAGAGAGGGGGCTGGAGGGAGGGAAGGAGGGAGGGGGAGGGAGTGAGGATGCAGGCGGCCAGGAAGACTATGGGGGCGGAGGAATGACGATGAGCGTCGGGAAGGACGAGCAGGAGGAGGAGGAGGAGGCACAGCATGGGAGGAGGAGAAGGAGGATGAGAAGGAGGACAGGAGAAGGAGGAGGTGGAGGGACGGGAGCAGGAGGAGGCGGAGGAGGAGGAGGAGGAGGAAATATAATAACGCCACATGTGGACGCATAAGGTCTGGCCACCGCAAACGGAGGAGGAGGAAGAGGAAGATGAGGAGGAGGAGGAAGAGGAGGAGGAGGAGGAGGAGCTGGAGGAGGGGGAGGAGCCCATAGTTGGAGGAGCTGGAGGAGGGGGAGGAGCTGGAGGAGGGGGAGGAGCTGGAGGAGGAGGAGGAGGAGCTGGAGGAGGGGGAGGGGGAGGAGAGACCGAGCAGGGATCGAGGAGGGATCACAGGAGGAGAGGCACTTCTGCGCGAGGCACGTCCGCCGCTCCCGGGCACGGAGGCCCGCTGCGCCCCGCCGCGCGCGCCGCCGCCTCTCAGGGCCTCCTGGCCGACGCGGCAAGGAGCGCCGGGCGTAGGCGCGGGCGCCTCTGCCTTGCCCCCGCCCCCCCGCCGCGCCCCCCCCCCCCCGCCCTCGCGCCCAGCGTCCACGCGCGCAGAGTGAGATCCGCCAGGCGGACCCGCGGCAGGAGCGCGGTGGTGCCGCCGCCCTCCGCGTCGCAACGTGGCCCATCGCACCAAGGCGCTGCGCGGGGGCACGCCTCGCACAGGGGGGGCTGCCGCAGCGCACGCGGACAGCAGGTGCCCGAGGCACTCCACCGGCGTGCAGCCCTCTGGAGCCGCAGCGGCGCAGAGCGGGCACGCGCACGGGACAGCGGCGATACCCTCGGCCACCCGTGCTTCCACTGCACCGCGGCCAGGCGCCCGCGCCGGTGCCCAGGCCTGGCAACATCGCCACACGGTACGCCCCCTCGCTCGACGCCCACCGTGCGCCAGGATCAAGCGGCCCCCGCACTGGAAGCGATTTCCGGCAGGGGGCGAGCCCATCGGTACCCAGCGCGCCCAGCTGCACGAAGAGCCATGCCTGGTCGTACGCCTAGACGCCTGGCGACACCACCGAGTGTTTTTCCGTGCTTGACAGCCCGCCTGCGCGCCTCGGGCTCCGCGCGGGCCGCCTCTGGAGAGCGCGTCGGCAGGGACGCCGCTGGTAATGCCTGGTGCTTGGGCCACCTCGGCGGCGTGGTCCAGCCACGCAGCACCGTACCTGCCACCACCTGCGCCACGGAGCTCCCAAGCCGCAGCGCAGGCAGCCGCGCCCGACCGAGAGGCAGGAACGCTGCAGCCCCACCGCGTCAGCGGGCGCAGCTCTGCCAGAGCGGGGACGTGCCCACCCGCCCCTGCCTGGGGGCCCCCCGCCCCCCCCCCCCCCCAGGAGGGGGAGGAGGAGAAGGAGGAGGGCGAGGAGGAGGGGGAGGAGGAGGAGGACGAGGAGGAGGAGGAGGAGGGGGGGGAGGAGGAGGAGGAGAAGGAGGAGGAGGAGGAAGGAGAGGAGGAAAGGAGGAGGAGGAGGAGGAGGAAGAGGAGGAGGAGGCCTGGCAGCATCTTGGCGACCTCGCACTGCACTCCTACTCACACGAGCCACCGCGGCCTGCCGGCCAGGGGCGGGGCGGGCCAAGGGCTCGCCGCGCGCTGTAAGAGTGGCGGGCTTGCTTTCCACCGCCACCACCAGAAGTAGGAGGGGGAGGGGGTTCCTCCTCCTCCTCCTCCTACTCTTCCTCCTCCTCCTCCTCCTCCTCCTCCTCCTCCTCCCCCTCCTCCTCCTCCTCCTCCTCCTCCTCCTCCTCCTCATCATCATCATCATCCTCCTCATCCTCCACCTCCACCTCCTTCCCCCCTCCAACTTATCGTGGTGATTGTGGCAAGCAGGCCCCTCAAAGAAGGTCTCGGCCTCGAGGCGCGCGGGAAACGGCGCCACCGGTCGCGGCAGGCCGAGCCCCCCCGCCGCGCGAGAGAGCGGTCGTCGGCCTGCGCAGTGTGCACGGGGGGTTCGTACTGACGTGGCGTTTGCTACAGTGCAGCCGGCAAGATGCGGAGCGTCTGGCCAGTTGGATGAGCGACCCCCCGCGCCGAGTGAACATGGTGGGCGAGGTACCGTCCCGATTGGAGGAAGGAAGGATGGCCGGAGCATACCAAGTAATGGCGCGGGTTCAGCGTGCGAATCCGGTATTCGCAATTTCACGTGCGAAGTGAATTATTGACTCACCGCGCATTTCGATGCTGAGTGCCCGTGCGACTGCCGCGCGGCATACTCAATGGTGAGTTCTTCTCCACCAGCTAACACAGGGATCACGGCGCATTTTCCTCGCAGGTTGAGGCGTTGGTGGGATTGATCGTTTGCCGCGTGGCCAACAGTGCGTATGAGTTCCGATGCGAGTTAAGAACTGTTTTGTTCAATCCCACTCTTGTTTAGCGAATGGAAAGAACTTACGCAGCATTTCCATCCAGATGTTCGGTCGACGTCGAGGCATGTGGGGGATTTGGGGTAATCGTGGCCAGGCACTAGATGCACAGTAGAACAAGGCGAACGGTGAGACTAGGATTTACACATGCTGTGGAGGATGGGATTATCTCGAAGATGCAGACAATAATGAGGCGGAGGAAGAGGAGGGAGAAAGTCGGCATGGGGGAGAGCGAGATGAAGAGGATGAAGGAAGGGAGGCGGAGGAAGATGGAGACTCGGAGGAGGAATACAAAACTGATGATGATATTGATAATGATGAGAACGATAAATCTGATGATGATGTGGAGGAGGAGG